CTGCAGGGAGCTATAGTTCTCATCTGAACAACCTCATTAAAGGACCACTCTAGGCACCCAGACCACTTCAGCTTAATGAAGTGGTCTGGGTGCCAGGTCCAGCTAGGCGTAACCCATTCTTTTATAAACATAGCAGTTTCAGAGAAACTGCTATGTTTATGAATGGGTTAAGCCTTCCCCCAAATCCTCTAGCGGCTGTCTCATTGACAGCCGCTAGAGGCGCTTGCGTGATTCTCACTGTGAAAATCACAGTGAGAGCACGCAAGCGTCCATAGGAAAGAATTGATAATGCTTTCCTATGCGACCGGCTGAATGCGCACGCAGCTCTTGCCGCGCGTTCGCATTCAGCCGACGGGGAGGAACGGAGGAGGATCGGAGGAGGAGAGCTCCCCGCCCAGCGCTGGAAAAAGGTAAGTTTTAACCACTTTCCCCCTTCCAGAGCCAGGCAGGAGGGGGTCCCTGAGGGTGGGGGCACCCTCAGGGCACTATAGTGCCAGGAATAAGAGTATGTTTTCCTGGCACTATAGTGGTCCTTTAAGCTGCAGTTGTTCAGGTGACTATAGTGTCCCTTGCTGGTGGGGAGCATTATGGTTGGGCCCCACCGAGCTACAAGCCTGCTGGTGGGGTGCCAAAAAGGCAAGAGGAGTTTATTATGCCGAGGGGGGAGGTGAGAGCCTTTGGGAAGAAGGAATGAGATTGGCAAGGACATGTTGGACAAGTACTGTATGACATCATGCAGGTGCTTACATGTTAATTTATTTATGAGCAGGGCCGGACTGGGGATACAAAGCAGACCAGGAAAAAAAATTTGTGCCAGCCCCATAAGTCACTGCGCCATATATTGTCACGTGTAATATGTAAGGCTATGTCTTGCCAGGACAGATGATGGAGTAATATATATATATATATATATATATATATATATATATATTGCTTTTTCTAATATAAAATATTGGTCCTTTCAGGGTAAAACGTTTAATTATACAGTAAGCATACTCACATGCAGACACAGGCAATTTCAATGACACACACAAGCTCATAGACAAACAATCTTACTGATATACATCAGCTCATTGACATAAAAACACAAGAGAAAAGGCAGTGTTTACATTGCTTCAAAGTGACACTGCTAGTGACGGTGTTAGTGCACCTACATTCAGGGCCTCCACACTCTGTAGGTGCTGAACGTTCCCCATAGAGATACGTTGATTCAATGCATCTCTATGAGGAGATGCTGATTGGAGTGGCGTTTTGCAGCCAATCCGATGGCAAAGCATTGGATTGGCTGAGATCATCAAGCTTGATGATCTCAGCTATAGAGGCAGGGCCAGTCGAGGGGAGACCAGCACGCTGCGTGGGGGAAAAAAAAGGTGAGCAAAAACACTATTTTTAAACACTCATTTACACCATGACAGACACAGAAACACACATATACCATGACAGATACACACCCCATGACAGACACACACACACACCATGACAGACCATGACACAGACAGACACACACCATGACACAGACAGACACACCATGACGGACAGACAGACACACACACCCCATGACGGACAGACACACACACACCCCCCATGACGGACAGACACACACACACCCCCCGTGACGGATGGACAGACACACACACACCCCGTGATGGACAGAGACACACACACCCCATGACTGACAGACACACACACACACACACCCCATGACGGACAGACACACACACCCCATGACGGACAGACACACACACCCCATGACGGACAGACACACACACACCACACACACACACCCCCATGACGGACAGACACACACACACACCATGATGGACAGACAGACACACACACCATACAGACAGACACCATGACACAGACACACACACACACACACACACCATACAGACAGACAGACACCATGACACACACTATGACACAGACAGACAGACACACACCATACAGACAGACATGATAACACAGACAGACACACACACACACACACACACACACCATACAGACAGACATGATAACACAACACAGACAGACAGATTACTAATACCTGCCAGGGGGAGGTCTTCTGTGGGCCGCTGGGGAGGTCATCTGGTGGCCGCTGGGGGACTTGACCTGGTGGCCGGTGGGGGGAGCTGCGCTGGCTCTGCTCTCCCGCCCTCGCGCGCTGCTGAATGAGACCGGCGCCGGAATATGACGTCATATTCCGGCGCCAGTCTCATTCAGCTGCGCGCTGGGGAGCAGAGCCAGCGCAGCTCCCCCAGCGGCCGCCAGGACAAGTCCCCCAGCGGCCGCCAGAAGACCTCCCCAGCGGCCGCCAGCAGACCCAGGTGTCTGCCCGGCCCCAGGTGCCGACGGCCCACCTGGAAATTTCCCGGTATCCCGGTGGGCCAGTCCGGCCCTGTTTATGAGAATACTATGTAAAGTTACACGTTGTTATTTCCAACATTCAGTGTCTGTTTTTATTAGGGGGGAAGCTATGGTTTGGTAAAAGGTCATCCCATCCAATGCCCACTACGTACATACATGTATATATACAAACACTTTACGGCAGATTTAATGCTTTTATTTTGTTTCATTCTGTTAAACCATTTTGTTTTTCAGTGTAATTTAACTGAAAAACGAATAAGACTAAACACGTTTCAATATGTCAAATAAATTATAACAAAATACATAATAAACAATTTTTTAAGTTATAAACATGGAGTATATTGCATTCAGAAAGCACCACCAATCTAGGAATACATTTTGGAATATGGCCATTGAACATACACAATATTCTGTTCTATAAGGACAGAAACAAAAACAAAAATGGGAAATGTATAAAAAGGAATTTTTGAGCTGCAACTCTGTAAATGGGAAGTACATCTGAAATTATTGTGTAAAACATTTAAATATATGTATAACTGTTGAGGCCTAAAATGTGTTTGCCATAGTTATATTGAGATTATAAATAGTTGATCATTCAATTTATTGTTAAAAGTAGGATTTGATTTGAAGAGAAAACCTTAGTAAATAGTGATAAAGTTGTCATAGCATTAAATGTACTCCTGTTGATATTGTTTTTTAGTTTCTAACTGATCTCTGATTACGTTTAGTGTCTCCATTCAGTGTGAAACATTCCCCTGTGTGCTTTCTCCCATGACATTTTAAACTTGCTGCATGTGTGAAACGTTTCCCACATTCCTGACATACATAGGGTCTTTCCCCTGTATGTGATCTCTGATGTTTTTTTAGGTTTCCCGCCTGTGTGAAACATTTCCCACATTCCTGACATACATAGGGTCTTTCCCCTGTATGTGATCTCTGATGTTTTTTTAGGTGTCCCGCCTGTGTGAAACATTTCCCACATTCCTGACATACATAGGGTCTTTCCCCTGTATGTGATCTCTGATGTGTTTTTAGGTTTCCCGCCTGTGTGAAACGTTCCCCACATTCCTGACATACATAGGGTCTTTCACCTGTATGTGATCTCTGATGTGTTTTTAGGTGTCCCGCCACTGTGAAACATTTCCCACATTCCTGACATACATAGGGTCTTTCCCCTGTATGTGATCTCTGATGTGTTTTTAGGTTTCCCGCCACTGTGAAACATTTCCCACATTCCTGACATACATAGGGTCTTTCCCCTGTATGTGATCTCTGATGGATTTCTAGGTGTCCCGCCCGTGTGAAACATTTCCCACATTCCTGACATATATAGGGTCTTTCCCCTGTATGTGATCTCTGATGTGTTTTTAGGTGTCCCGCCACTGTGAAACATTTCCCACATTCCTGACATACATAGGGTCTTTCCCCTGTATGTAATCTCTGTTGTGTTTTTAGGCTTCCCGTCTGTGTGAAACATTTCCCACATTCCTGACATACATAGGGTCTTTCCCCTGTATGTGATCTCTGTTGTGTTTTTAGGCTTCCCGTCTGTGTGAAACATTTCCCACATTCCTGACATACATAGGGTCTTTCCCCTGTATGTAATCTCTGATGTGTTTTTAGGTCTCCCGCCTGTGTGAAACGTTTCCCACATTCCTGACATACATAGGGTCTTTCCCCTGTATGTGATCTCTGATGTGTTTTTAGGTTTCCCGCCACTGTGAAACATTTCCCACATTCCTGACATACATAGGGTCTTTCCCCTGTATGTGATCTCTGTTGTGTTTTTAGGTTTCCCGCCCGTGTGAAACATTTCCCACATTCCTGACATACATAGGGTCTTTCCCCTGTATGTAATCTCTGTTGTGTTTTTAGGCTTCCCGTCTGTGTGAAACATTTCCCACATTCCTGACATACATAGGGTCTTTCCCCTGTATGTGATCTCTGTTGTGTTTTTAGGCTTCCCGCCTGTGTGAAACATTTCCCACATTCCTGACATACATAGGGTCTTTCCCCTGTATGTAATCTCTGTTGTGTTTTTAGGCTTCCCGTCTGTGTGAAACATTTCCCACATTCCTGACATACATAGGGTCTTTCCCCTGTATGTGATCTCTGATGTGTTTTTAGGCTTCCCGCCCGTGTGAAACATTTCCCACATTCCTGACATACATAGGGTCTTTCCCCTGTATGTGATCTCTGATGTGTTTTTAGGCTTCCCGTCTGTGTGAAACATTTCCCACATTCCTGACATACATAGGGTCTTTCCCCTGTATGTGATCTCTGATGTGTTTTTAGGTCTCCTGCCTGTGTGAAACGTTCCCCACATTCCTGACATACATAGGATCTCTTCCCTCTAGGAGTTTGTTTACATTTTAACCCAAACTCATTCAGACTTATTTCACATTGAAAAACAGTTTTTTCATTATACATGCTATTCAATTGACTGGCAGGTGAAGTTCCATTCAGATCAAAATGAGCATTGTTTGAAGAATTATCTAAACTGGACATTTCTTCTGTTTGCTTTCTTTTAGAATTGAAATGTTTTAGTTTCATGTGTTTTAAGAGATACTCCTGATTGCTGAATGCAGTATTACAGTATTGACATGGGTGGATCACATGCATTCTTTGTGCTGAGGAAGAAAAAAAAACCAAACAAACAGAATTAGCATTTACAAGGACGGTGGCACTTATCTACCAAGCTTTGCCATCTTCTCTAGGGATGCACAGTACAAGCTTGTGCAAATGTTAGCATCAGGAGATGACTTCCAAGTAATGGAAACATACGTTATTTAACAAGATTTCACACTGAGGTCACTCTCCTTCCAGAGAACAAAAGATGATGTCCTTGGCTTGTAAATAATGTTGATCTGATATTGGTGCACTAGTATCAATGGCCTAACATCAGTTTGCAGATAATAACAGTCTTACATTTACGCACAAGGAAGAAATATTACATTATCGGTTCTAGTTATGTATGATTGAATGATTGAGGGATGTTCTAAGTATTATTATGAAAACCTGGAGTAAGAGGAACTCCTGAGATATGGAGCCAGACTTCCTCCATTCAGTGGATAGCGTTGGTTAGAGTCAGACTGAACTGAACAGCAAGGCTGGGTAGTTTTACCATTCCCCATCTTACATCCACCTCGCTGGAATGCAAGGCTGACACCAAATAGCAGCAATATTCCGAAAATCCTTGTGTACTCATTTCCTGCACCTACTAACAAATCTGGGAAGTCAAACTTCTTATAAATACATTTCAGACAAACATATTAACACATAAGGATAGAGACACTCTGTTCATACGCTGTTTAGGAATACCTAAAAAAAAAAAAAAAATCATTAAAAAAAAAAACAACACAATTTTATTTATTTCTTCATTTATTTAGCCATCCTTTTCAGGAATATTTTGGGTTGAAAAGTTTTAGTGGTTATACGGTGGTGGAACAGAAGATGGGGGCAGTGTATGTATGTGTGTGTGGGAGGGTGTACAGCGTGTGTATGGGGGCAGTTTGTGTGTGTGGGGGAATTTGTGTGTGTATGGGGGCAGTGTGTGTGAGAAGTACAGTGTGTGTGTGTGTGTGTGAGGGGTACAGTGCGTGTGAATGGGGGGGCAGTGTGTGTGCGTAGGAGGGAATTATTGTGGGTCTCTGGGGGTAGTTGGAGAGATTACGAAATATAAACATTTTAATAAATAAAAATGGAAACAAACTCATATCCCACCTCCCTTTACCTTTCTTTTCATATATTTAAATACCCTTTTTCAAATATGCAAACATTTCATTAAAGGAATATTATAGGCACCAAAACCACTTTAGCTTAACCCCTTATGGACGGAGTCAATTGTACAAGTTCTGATCAAAACAAACCCTAGAATTTGAGCTATACGATGGCATAATTTACCTCTTTCATATTAAGTGCATCACACGTTCATGTTTTATAGTGTTTTGGAAAGTTACAGGTTCAAATAAAGAGCTTGCCAATTTCAGTTTTTACACGTTGAGATTTGCCAGTGTTCAAATGTAGTAGACCCAGTCTTTTTTAGTAGCCACTTAGTTACAAACCCTGACCAAAGTTAGGGTTTACATTAGTTTTTTTGAATTTTTCACACAAAAACTACACTTTAACTGATAATATCATTGTCATTATATGTTTTACTGCTCTAAAACACTCATAGTTGTGTATTATGATGCCTCACGATGACAACAGTACCCCATATGTACAGATTTTATGGGGTTATAGAAAGTTAAAGTGGGAAAATATAGGGCTTGCAAATAAAATTCTCTGACTTGGTTGTCAGGCAGATCTCCCCAAATATATACATCTCACTCATATGATACGATGGGGGCTCCCTCTTGTTTGGTGGTTCCCTCCCAGTGCTCCCTGATGAGGTCCAGGGGGCCTCGCACCCTTCGTCCATACAGTAGCTCAAAAGGAGAGAATCCTGTGGATTCCTGCAACACCTCCCTGTATGCGAACAGGAGGTGCGACAGGAACCTGTCACAGTATAATTCTGTGAACGTTTTCAACATTTGTTTGTGGGTACCGTTGAAACGTTCACAGAGGCAGTTGGTCTGGGGGTGGTACGGGAACTAAGTAGGGACTTGATTTGGCAGACTTTCCACAATTGGTGAGTCAGTTCAGCTGTGAACTGGCTCCCTTGGTCGGCGAGGATCTCCCTAGGGAAACCCAACCTAGCGAATATCCCGACCAAGGCCCTGGCAACGGTGTCCGCCTGAATATTGGATAAGGCAACGGCCTCGTGATAGTGTGTGGCATAGTCCACCACGGTAAGAATAAAACGCTTACGCTGTACAAAAACACACACGTAAATATGGCGCTAAATAGATAGTAAATAGTAATAATAAAATAATAATTCAATAAGCAGCACTTAGTATAGTGAAAAAACTCCAATCACATGTAACCATAAAAACAAAAACAAAGTGCCCTGTGCCATTAAGACCAATATTCAGACAAAATATTTTGATAAAGCGCAATTAAGTGCAAATTCATATGACAAAAAAAAGTGATAAAGTGCACTTTGTGCAAATGTGCAAAAACACTCACAAATGAATTGATGCTGACAAATTGTGCAAATTTTATATACTTAACTTTCCTACTGTAGGGAGAAAGCCTCCAAGCTTGTGTCAGCAATACAATATAAATCTCAAACAAAAGAGAAAAAGAAGACACAACCTCATAGCGCAATATGCATAAATAAAGAACACAGGGAGGGAGGGTGAGGAGAAACCACTAGGGGAAGGTGGGGGGAGAGGAGAGACCACCAGGGGAAGGTGGGAGGAGAGGAGAGCAGAGACCACAAGGGGGAGATGAGAGATCACTAATAGAAAGTCAGTGAAAAAAAGGAGAGACCACTAAGGGAGGGTGGGGAGGAGAGTAGAGACCACTAAGGGACAGGGGAGGAGAGATCACTAAGGAGCAGGTGAGAGCTCTAAGGGACGGAAGGGAGAGCTCTATGGGACAGGGAACTCTTTCACACTACACACGCACACACCCACAATGCATTCCTATACACACACAGAAACACAACATGCTTCCCTTACACACAGAGAAACACACAATGCATCCATTACACACACACACAAAATGCAACCCTTACACAAAGACAATGCATCCCTTACACACACTGCTTCTCTTACAGACACACTAAAACACAATGCATCCTGTACATACACAGAAACACATCTTGCATCCCTTATTCATACAAACACAGATTCACACAATGCATCCCTTACACACAACCAGAAACACACAATACATCCCTTATATACAAACACACACTGCTTTCTGTCCCTTACACACTGCATCACCTACACAAACTGGTATCCCTATACACTACATTCCATAAGCACACACATCAGATCCTCTACAATAACACATCCACTTTCTGTGAGCGAACTCATGGGTGGAACATGTAGGTGGACTTATGAGTGGACCTTATGGGCGTAATCACCATCAGGCCCTGGGGCCCAGACCTTGATCTGTGCACGGGGCCCCTCCAAAAAAATGGAGCAGCTTCCCGTTACAAACAGCCTCCAGAGATCCTGTAGCCCCATGTAGCCAAAGCGCAGCTTAGCGGAAAAGGGCCTTGACAGGGGTTAGGAGGCGGGCATAGGAGGAAGCAAGCAGAGATTGGAGTTGTGGGTAAGTGGGTTTGGCTATTTAAATAGGTAGCAATCTTGGATGAGTCACTTTTAATTTCCTGTATATAAAAACACACAAGTAAATATGGCGCTAAATAGATAGTAAATAGTAATAATAAAATAATAATTCAATAAGCAGCACTTAGTATAGTGAGAAAACTCCAATCACATGTAACCATAAAAACAAAAACAAAGTGCCCTGTGCCTTTAAGACCACTATTCAGACAAAATATTATAATAAAGTGCAATTGGGTGCAATATTTATAGCAAAAAAAGTGACCAATATTCAGACAAAATATTTTGATAAAGCGCAATTAAGTGCAAATTCATATGACAAAAAAAAGTGATAAAGTGCACTTTGTGCAAATGTGCAAAAACACTCACAAATGAATTGATGCTGACAAATTGTGCAAATTTTATATACTTAACTTTCCTACTGTAGGGAGAAAGCCTCCAAGCTTGTGTCAGCAATACAATATAAATCTCAAACAAAAGAGAAAAAGAAGACACAACCTCATAGCGCAATATGCATAAATAAATGTATAGAGAATGTAACTTGAAACACTCACAAAGGTAGAGCAATAAAGTCTAATATAAAGTGTAATGGCATCTCTGTGTAGGGTATTCAGGCTTGAAGCTGTGGTGAAGATTGAAACACTATTGTTGCTTTGCAATTAAAACAGCTGCAAGGCAAAAGTCCCCATTACTTCTAAATTCCCTCCTCTCCTGTTGGTATATTAGCTTCACTCTAGTCCAGCGCTAGCTATGCAGGACGCCAAGCAACAGTTCCGGGGGGCGGGCCTTACAGCCGCAGAGCGTGATGATGTAATTCTTCAGAACGTGATGATGCGTTTCGCCGACGTGCTCGGCTTCATCAGATCAGTTCAGTAATCCACCACAGTCTTAGTTAAATACTATTTGGGGACGTGTTTGCCCAAACAAAGTCCGTAATTTCGGCTCTGTCATTGGACACAGCTAAAAATATATTTGCATACATGAATACATGCCAATATCGTTATTTCAACAAGGGATTATTACCTAAAAGAGCTAATCTACTTAAATAAGTTTAAATAAATCTAAGACCGCAAAAACTAGATGGTTAATGTGACAATCTCGCCAATGTGCATTGGAGGAGCCTGGATGCCCGCCTGCTGCCTTAAGA